CTTTCCCACAGGGAGTACTGCCAGAGGGTGCTGAGGAAGCCTGCCCAGGACTGCTCTGCGTACACACTGTCCTTTGACACCACAGTTTTCATCATAGAGAGCACACGGCGGCGGGTGGCAGTGGAGGCCCTGCTGGAGAACAAGGGCGAGAACGCCTACAGCACAGTCCTAAATATTTCACAGTCAGCAAACCTGCAGTTTGCCAGCTTGATCCAGAAGGTAAGACCTCGGTGGCCTCTGCCTGGCCTGCCTGAGGGGAAGGGCTGAGGCAGGAAAGGAGGGGTCCAGGTAGGGGACCCGGCTGCACGTTAGAATCACCTGGGAGCTTAAAGAGACCTGTGTTAAGACTTCTCCAGGACTTTCTAATTGATGTGGTCTGGGTGGGGCCTGGGTCAGTCCGCTTCTAAAGCTGCCCAGGTGATGTCACTGTGCAGTCCGGGCTGAGAAACATGGGGAGAGGGTGGTTTGAGCCTTTCAGACCATGGAGAGGAATATCCTTCAGCCTGCGCCCTTGGCCCTTGTTAGGGGCGCACACACACATACACATGCCTGCACGTGTGCACACTAGTGTCTACACACCCTCTGCCTACCGTTCATCCTCCAGGCTTTTCCACAATAGTCCTTCTAACAAGAATCAGAACCAATTTCTCCCCACTTTAAAACCTCCCATCATTCCCAGTTGCTTTCACAACAGATCCCAAACTCCTTGTGGTTGCACTCAAGGCCCTTCCTGCTTCCCCAGCTACACCTGCCACTTCTGCCCTCACCCCAACACCGGTAGTCCCACTGGCCCCCACTGTTTCCCAGCACACCTGCCCTTTCCCACCACAGACCCCTGCCTGAGACCCCCTCCCTCATTTCCTGAGAAGCTCCTGCTTCCTCGTGGTAACCCCTTACAACGCCTGCTTACATTTCACCCTCACAACAACTCCAGGAGGTGGTGGTGGTCATCGTATCCCCCTTTACAGAGGAGGAAACTGAGGCACAGAGGGGTTAAGTGGCCTGAACAGGACCACACGGCCAGCAAGCGGCAAAGTGGGATTCCCACCCAGCAGCTGGCTCCTGAGCCCACGTTTCACGAGAGAGCATGGTCCCCACGCCACGCTCTCTGGGGTGGCTTCCTGAAGCTCCAAAAGGCCACACAGGGCCCCTCGGCCCTCACAGCTCCCTGGCGCAGCCCTATGTGTGCTCTGTGGAAATCATCAGTGTCCGAGCGCTGCCCCGTTATAACCCTGAGCTCCCAGAGGGCGAGTGCCCTGTCTCAGCCACATCTGTCCCCAGGGCTGGGCACAGAGAAGTCCCTCAAGACATGTCTGTTGAATAAACCTAGGACATCGTTGTCGTGTGTGTGTACTGGTGGGTCCCAGGTCCCCTCAAACACAGTCTCTGTCCTCACAGATCTCCGTGTGCACCTGGAGCCTGGGGTGCAGCATAGGAGAGCCAGCAGGGCCCTTCTGTCCTCACCTCCACCACCCCTTCCTCACTGGACTGGGGAGAGGCAGGACGGGCCCCTCCTCAGCCACACACACACACACGCGCGCGCGCGCGCGCGCGCTGTTTTATAGCCAGAAGGGGAAGCTGAGTGGAGTGAGGCCCCCGAGAAAAGAGGAGGGCTGCCTGCCGTGTCCTCCCTTTCCCCTCAGTGGGCCCCCAGTGTCCTCAGACAGACTTCAAGTTCAGTGCAAAGGACCTGAAGGAGGGGCTGTCAGTGCAAAGTCAGTCCCTCTGTCAGGCCCAGGTCCTGTTCCAGGGCCCAGAGTGAAGATGACCAGCCCACCTGACGGTCTTTCAAAGGCCTCTCCTCCCAGAGGCTTTGCTTCTGTTTGGCTTTAGGGTATTTAGGGGAAACTGAGCCCCAAACCTGCATCCATCTCTTCCTGCTTCCCTGGCCCTGACTTTCCAAGACCAATCTCGTGCCTGTTCATAACCCTAAGGGGAAGGAATCATGGAATTTTGTTTCTGTGACGCAGAAGGGCTTTGGAAACGTGTTCTGTGAAAGGCCGTGTCCGTACACACACAGGCGCGTGACCACACACACTTGGCAGGTGGTGTGTGTAGGGCTAGCCTGCAGCCTGGCCCCTTCACCTCCCCGCCATCCATCCCCAGCCCGGGAGATGCTCACAGCTGGAGCTCAGCACACCCTCCTTCCTTTCTCCGACCCCTACCGTCCAACAAAGGGACCTCGAACGGAGGAAGCCACTTGCTGGTGGTCTGCACTAGCTACCTCCCGTCTCTGGGGCTCAGTGACCCCACCTGTAAGCTGGATGATAAGTCCCGCCTCTGGGCTTGATCCAGAGAGAATGACAAATCATATACGTGAGCGCCTGCCCACTCCCTCCACGACCCATCACAGCTAAGCCAGGCCTCCGCCCCCGCACCGGGCTCCCACCATGCTTTGCGCTTTCCGCACACAGAGCCAAGCCGCACCCGAGCCTCCAGGGCCCCTGTGGTCCCAGGATCTGCGGCCTGTGCTGCAGCTTCAGCCTGGGCAGTTGGGGGTCAGGGGGCAAGGGTGGCCCCCCACCCGGGTCCCGGGCCCCACCTAACTGGTGCCCGTGATGCCCCCATGGCCCCAGGACGACTCAGACGGCAGCATCGAGTGTGTGAACGAAGAGAAGAGGCTCCACAAGAAAGTCTGCAACGTCAGCTACCCCTTCTTCCGGGCCAAGGCCAAGGTTGGTGCTGGGGTGGTGTGGGGAGGGAATGGGGCGGGTCGGGGAGGCACAGGGGAGGCAAGAGAAGTGGAAGGGAACAGAGCAGAGGACTGGGGAGGGATGGAGAGGCCTGAGGGCGCCTTTTAAGTAGGTTGGTTTTTTCTCCTATGAAATGGCCTTCAAGTGACCTAATTAGCCAGCCATCCCCAGGGCTGACAGCGCACCCCAGGAGAGCACCAGGACCCTCACCTCAGGGGGAATCCTACCACTCCCACCCACCACTCTCCCACCTCCTCTTGGCCATTTACCCCACTGTCCTGTATCCTAACCCCTTTTTAGAATGTCCAGCCTCTGTCATGGTGCTGTGCCTGGGGAGAGATGGGAAGAAAAATGAACGTTTCTTGAGCACCTACCATGTGCTTAAAAGTACATGTGAAAAGAGTGTAGGGATGGGAGAGGTAGACTCCAGACTGTGGGGACGTTTGCCCATCACCCCCGGGCGGTAGGCAGCCCCTGAAGGTTCTAGAGCAAGAGGAGACCTGACTGAGGCCGAGCTGCTTGTAGAGTGGGAACCAGACAGAGGGGAGCTTGAGGTAGGGGCCACCTAGAAAGCAGCAGTGTGTTCCCAGGAGCAAGGTCTGCAAGGCTGGGGGAAGGGGAGAAGGGGGAGGGAGATTAGGGCTCCTGGCAAAAGAACCTCCCCAGTGCGACAGAAGTCAAGATTGTGGTTTTTGAGGTGAGGCGCTGACTACCCAGGAGCTCTTGGGTGAAGACCCAGGGGGAGCAGCACACAGCCCAAGCTTCCCCACCCGATCCTGCGGCCGCTCAGGGAGTAGCCATCCCCACCCCCCGCACCCCCACCCCTGCCACCAGGTGGGGCAGAAGGTAGCAAAGAGGGTCAGATGTCAAAGGGCACAATCAGGGGACCCAGGCCCTACTCCTGGGTGAAGGCCAAGGGAAGCACCAGGACCTGGGCCGTCAGAGCGGTGGGAGGGCCGCTGGACAAGGAGACAGGTGTGTGACTAGCCTCTGGGTAGCCAGGGACAGCCTTCACCCTTCTCCAGGCCTCACACCTGTTCACATGCAAGAACGGGGGGTGCATGAGGGGGTCTCATCACTAGATTCTGGCCCCCACTTCCTGCGATGCATGTTGATGGCCATCTCCCCTTCCCACCATCAAGTGCCCCCCAGAAATTCCTGCAGAAAGAGTCTGAAGTTGAATTCGCAGCCTTCTGGTTGCCTGCAGTTAAAAACAAAAAGGCAGGGGGCGGAGGGCTGGCCTCACAGCCAAGAAGCCCCAGCAGGGGAGCTGTTGACCTCGGCTGCTTCCCAGCCCGGGCCCCTGAGCTCAGCTCACATGACTCTAGCACCTGGTCCTCCCTCCCCCAGCCCATTCCCTGCTGGCAGGGCCCACCAGAAGGGCAGGGGTTGGGAGCGGCGGGCCAGGGCTGGTGTGGGCAGTGCTCAGATAGGCAGTTTCCAGCCAGCCCGGCTCCAGCAACTTCTTCCTTGTAGGTGGCTTTCCGCCTCGATTTCGAGTTCAGCAAATCGGTCTTCCTGCACCACATGGAGATCCAGCTCACAGCGGGCAGGTCAGGGCTTGCCCACTCCTTCTCCCTCCCTGCTCGCTACTCCCGGGCCCTGTTCTGCTGCTGGGAACTGCCCCTCCCCACACCAGATCCCCCGCCAAGCCTTGTCCTTCGCTGCCCTGCCTGGGAGGGCCCTGGGTCAGTCCCCACGTGCGGGCCCACCTGCCGCCCGCTGTGCTGCTGCCATTCTTCGTTCTTGGGCAGCTTGATATAAATAATAATACCCTCAGCTTTCTACAGCATTTTATATAGCAATTATTTAAAAGCCCTACAGTTATAAAGTACTATGCACGTAATATCTCAGTCAGTCCTCACAGCAGCGCCTTAAGACAGGCAAAGCAGGGCTTATTCCCCACCCCACCCCACCTCCCAAGTTACAGGTAAGAAAAGGAAAGCTCAGAGAGGTTGAGTGAATTTCCCAACAACACACAGCATGTAAATAGTACAGCTGGGAGCTATAGTTTTCCTACTCCTTATCCAGTGCTCTTTATGTCCTGGTCACTTCTCTCCCCTTGGAAACTTCCAATTTTAAAAGACCTTTCATTACTCTATGTGGGTCTGTCTGTCTGTCTGTCTGTCTCCCAGGCCTCCCTGAGGCAGCTTGCTGTAGGTTGACACCGTGAATCGTCCATGTCAGGAATAAACACACGGAGGTGAGGACGAATTCTGGCTGCTCTGGAGCCTTGTAAACCCTCCTGAGAACTTCTCCACACTGAGAAATAAACACTGCAGGCAAACCGAGCACCAACATTCCAACACACACACACATGCACAGACCAGTCAGCAGTCACAGGAGTGCTGGGGATGAACACAGCAGCATGTGCGTGTATGCAGGTACAGTTAGCCAAACTGTGCACTCTGGTGGAATTCTCACTTGACATGAGGCAAAGTTTGTAAGATGTGTTGATATCTTAAGGCCTCCCCCTTAGAAAGCAGTCTGTCCTCATAGGGCAATGAACGCCCTTGCCTGCAGTGTCCTTGGCAGTGTGGGTGTTGGCGCGTGTTTGTGATTTAGGCATATATAGGCAGGGGACACTGGGCATGTGTGTGTGTCAGGTCTTCCTTTTCTAACTAAGCACCTTTCTGGGGTAAGGTTTCCGAAGGAAATCAAACAGTGTATGTAATGAGCAGAAATCATACCTTTTTTATGTCTAAATGATCTGCTCCGGTAGTTCACGGTGCTCAGAAGTGAAGGGAAGCATATTCAACAAAACTTCCTCTAATGCCTCTGAATTTCACTCTCCAGCCTTTTCAAGGCAGCATAGCCCCCATGGGAGCTGGCTCACCCCTAGTCAGCTCGGGGGGGTTGGCTCAAGGGTCAGTAAACGCTCTGCTGTGAATTCCTCGTGCTCTTCCCCTCTCTTGGGCAGACCCTTGCCCTGGAGGCGTCATCTCCTGGGGGGGGGGGGGGGGGGGG